AATTTTTTTAATTTTACAAATGATGTTAAATTATGTATTTCCAAGTGATGTAAAACTTTCTATCAAGAATAATTTTTTTGTGATACGCAAGATACATTATTCTCCCATTTGTATAAAACTTTTGAGACACACTGTATGGAAAAATGTGTATATTATGTCATATACAAGTACCTTTGCAGCGCAACGGTAAATAATAATAATAGCCGTCCCTTTTCCCAGACAAACAGCTTTCGGGGTTAAAATTCAGTCGTAAGGGAGTGAATTAGGGAGAGTATTATTATTATTATTACTTCGTGGTATTTATCTTATTTTATTGTATTTTCGTTTATCATAGTATCTATATGAATTATTAATTTTGTTGTAATTAATTTTTTTGTACAGATAAATATTATTAAACCACGGTGAAGTTTGTGTTTTGTCGTATAGACTGTTACAATGTAATTGTTGCATTGTAGTTCTTTTTATTGCAATAATAATTATATATAATATTATTTTACTAACTGTATTCTGCTTGTTTTGGAGAAAATTCAAGAGGGTTACTTGTCTAACGTTCTATTGAAGTCTTCTTATTCAGTATAACTCATAGATAAATTAATAAAGAAGATAGTCGGATACCGTGTTAATTTTTGGAAACGCCTGGGCGCTGGTACTGCATATGGTGTTCAAAATACATTGCTTCTTATGGGAATTATAAATAATTTTGTTAAAATAATAAAAATAAACTTGTTTATAGCTAAATAAAGCACAGAACATACTGTTGTATTTATTTTTAAATAAGTCTTGCATGTTTTGATTGATAAATTATTTAATTTTATCTATATAAAATACAAATTAGGTATGTACGATCAAACTCGAAAAGGTTTTCAATTCTTTTTTAATATATTTATAACAAAACATGTATAGTCCGGGAAAATCTAAATATTCTTGTTCAGCTCCTAATTATTAAAATACGTATTTTTCTAATATTTAGCAAGCTGCTTATTTAAATTAAACATTTTTTCATTTTCCTCCGATAAAATTCGCAATAACTTTGTGACGATCATTTTTTGCCAGAGTCTTTCAAAACGTAAACTACTAATTGCAAATTATGCACCAATTTTATTAGATTAATAGAAGAGACAGTATTGCCCTCTGGTAAAGTTGCTAGAAACTTAGGTTTAGAGATTGATAATGAATTGAGATTAAAGCCATACGTATAAAAATGTATCCAAAAGGCCTAGGCCAATTTAAAAATGTTATTTCCAAATAGACATGTTTTATCTACATCCACAAAAATCTGCTTTGTGATTTTTTAGTTCTTAGTCATTTTAAATACTGTGAAAGCGTATATGGTACTTGTTTAGACATTACTGACCAAAATCGTATCCAAAGAGCAGGAGTGGCTCGTGAGCAAAATTTTGGGGGTTCACAGTAGCAGAATATAGATCCCGGTACAGAAATTGGTAAAAAACTGTCAGTGTTTTAGAAAGGTATATTATAAACTTTCTAAAACACTGAAAGTTTTTTCATACATCTGTACTGATACCTATATTCTGTCACTGTGAACCGCCCACAAGCCGCCACTGCCAAAGAGTACAAAGATATTGTCTGCGTTTTATTTATGGAATAAGAAAATTTTATAGAATAATTCACAAATTAAGTGATGCTGAATGGTTGGATGTGACATGTAGACGAAGACTTCATGTGGCTACTGTGTTTCACAAAATAATTTTATTTAAGTCACCCCCATATTTTTTTAATAAAGTTAGATATCGCTCAGATATTCACAATATAAATATACGTTCACGCGGTAAAATTTCTCCATCATCTCATGGCACTTCGATGTTCCAAAGAACCTTTACTTACATGATATATAAGCTTTATAACGGAATTTCAACAGGGTTAAAAAATTACAGTATAAGTAGTTTTACCAAAACATATAAGAAAATGTTGTACATTAGGGATATGAACATTAATTATAAACGCTTGTTAATATTTATTTTTTTTTGTCTAGGGCTTTGGCCCTTAGAATCAGTTTTATTGTATGCCAGCTCTATTTTGCAGTGTTACATTAAGTGTTTTTTAAAATTATATTTTTTGTTTCTTATTCTGTGTAAGCTGGAAATAAATAAATTTATTAATATTATTAATACTGCTACCGCCCCTTTATCAGGGAGGTCCTTATTAATAATGAAATTACCACAGATTGCCTAAATAAAAAAAGACAAATAGCTCAAGTAGTTTTAGAAACTACCGGAGAGTGGGTGAGGGTTATATGATTTAAACTACACTTATGTTACCCATATAATTTAATTTCAGTCCAGGATCAGTGCAGGTTAGTTTCCAGTTTTGTAATGTGAGCAATAATAACAAAAAAAGGGCTAAACCTATCAAGTTGCCCTGCGATATGCAATGAGTACTAATTGTTTACATTGAGGTGAATGTAAGTAAATATATCAAATAATAGGTAGATACTATTACTAAGGGTAATATATCTAAATATATTCGTTTACTATTAGTGTCCTTTCTTTTAGGTATTTAGTCACTACAAATAATATCAATATTGTCCAAGCCGGAAATAATAGGCTTAGGTTCCAGCTCAGCTTATCAGCCTTAGAAATATAAAAGGAAAATTCTTACTTGTTTGTAGCAGATCCAAGCTGTATGAGGTGGTCTCACTATAGGTACCTAATCGTCATGCATGCTAATAATAAATGAACAGTAGTCTGGATGTAGCATTCACAAATACATGGGCCTAGAAGCTAGTAAGCATGCAGTTATGGTCCAGAAAGTAGCTATTATTGGAGACAGGCAGTAAAATTCACCTGAAGTCCAAAGCAAAAAGTAGGCAAGCGGTAAGCGGTAAGCGTTAAACGTTAAAGGTTCTAATTTAGCTCATGCAAGCAATTTATAGGTCTCTAAACCCAATACTAAAAGGTCTAGAAGGAAATGCAATTTAAGTAATACAAAAATAAGCCACAATAAGTGCTGTCAAAACTAGACAATTAGTGATAGTTGTAATTGTCTCTAATATATGGCTTTTATTCCGAATAAAATTCGATAATTAATTTGCACAGGCACCACATATACCCAACAAACTCATACCATCCAAAGAAAGAGCCAAAAAGGAAGGAAGTTTCTTAATTTAATGGCCGACCAATATAGCCAACTATTAAAATTTTAGGGAAAATTGCATCTGTTCAAATAATAAATCATAACCTTGCATTAGAACATTTAAGAAATGAAATAGGTCCTATATAGTTACACTAGAAGAAGAAAGGTCAAGGTTGACAGATGATTATCAGAATGAAATGTTTACATTTTCTGTAGGTTAACTTTAACCAAACTTTAAACTATTAAATTATCAACTTCTAAATCTATGTTTTATTTTCAAAAGGGTAAGTTTCATTCAACTTTATATAACTTGTGAAAATGTATATCATTTAATCGATTAATATATTTATTTTCTGCTATTTCAATTAAAACCGTAACAATACTCTTTGAGATTAGTTTCTTGGATAGGTACCATTCGATAGAGCATTCGAAACCAACAAAATCTAGCAGGCTATTCTCACGCGAATCGCCGCAGGTACGATCCCCCAATCCGCAAAACAACAAATAAAAAATTCACGAGCGTATCCTAAATCCCGACACGACATGCCGCGATCCGACAATACAATAAAACACCCGATAATTTCTGAGAATCGCCGAATACCTCTTGAGTTTCTCAATGAGTCTCTCCATTCTAGACTCTAGACGGTAAAAAATTTTAGCGCCGGCGGCTAAATATTTTCGACGAGGAAATGAATCCAATTTTGTGGAACCCGACGTGAGCGGACCTGTCAGGCCGTTTCTCGGCAGAATTTGGCGGATTTTTTCACACGAATGCGAGAGCTGTACACTAATCCGATTACAAGCCAAACGAGTACCAGACAAAATTCTTCGGTCAGATAGGTAAGATCGGTAGGCGGAGATTAGGAGCGTATACAAGTTGTAACGAATGTCGATACTATCTGAGTTATGTGGGGAATTTTCGATTTGAAATAATTAGTTTGTATAAAAATCGATTTTTGTACAACTGTCATTAAGAATGATAGTTTTAGTAGGGAGTTGATATTGTTGAGTAATTAAATGATTATTATACAACAAATTTAAATCAATAACGAGACCCAATATGAGAAATTAAACGAACCGTTTGCATTTGTAAATTTTGAGGCAAACTTTAATCGAAAAGTAGAAATAACGAATATTAGGCCAGCATTATAGATAACCAATTCACATTAATTACAGTTTTGAAACTTTGTTGGAATATTTCTTAAATTGTATTCCTTAAATTGAAATATTACTAAATTTTTTCTAAGGTTTGGAATATATTAATAATTGCAAAAATTTAAAATTTAATATAACTTGTTAAAAAAATTGCAAAAGTACTGCAAACTTGAAATAATGTCAATTTGGATGTTTTCAATCTTATAACAGATTGGCAACTTTTTTGAAATTATAGGATTAATAGGATTTATTTCGGATTCATTTAACATAAACTGCATTTATAAAACCTAAAATAAATACTACTTACAATAAATCTAGTGAATTATTTCATATTTTATCATTTGTTTACTTCCATTAAAATTTTCTTACTATTTTGTAGATTGTAGATTTTAAATTGAGAATCCATGTAGATTGTTAGGAATATAGTTTTGTTTAGTTAATGTTTAATATTTATCAATTTACAATATATTGTATTATGTTTTGTGTTACCTCTGTAATTTTGTATAACGTCAGTATAAAAAAAATATATGTCAATCATTAAATAAAAAGGTAAAAAAGCCTACAAATCTCGTTCTATTATTATCAACATTATTGGCATCCCTGATAAAATGCGAGTTTTAAAGATGAGCCGGATATTTTAAAGAACGGACAAAAGAAAATATTCAAGGAAATAGATGAATAAATTAAAGATGTTTGCGTAGATAAGAGGAGTGCACTATTAAATGATAAAGCTGAACGTGTGTACATCTTAGATAATAATATTAAAGAAATCATGGTCTCTGAGAATGTATCAGTGGAAGACATTACAACAGAACTGATGGAAGAGGAGGCCTTTAGAGAATATATCATTAAGTATAAAGCAGAATGCGAGTACGTGATACAGAATATGGAAGGATAAAAAGATAACCAAGGAGCCAGTTCAAAAATGATGACTACTGGGGTCAATTTAAGAAGATACATGAGGACCAATATATCGCCGTTCCGGTAAAACAATGACGCAAGTGCAAAATTGTGACATTTTGATTTTAACATGTCATTAGTTTCCAAATTAGTCTCTCTATACGGTATAACAACGGCGAAATTTTTTATCCACTCCCGGCCATCTAAATGGTAGTTACTTCAATTTTCAAATATTAATGTTTGCCCCTCCACTTTTGAAAAACAATGACATATGAATCAGTTGTGTCTGCAAATTTAAGGGAGACATTACTTAGTCTATGGTTAAATGTTGTATTTGCTATTTAGGACAAGTTCTTTGTGATTTATGTGCTCAAATTTGGAAGTAATAATATTCGTTTTTCGTCTCTCCTGAAAAATTGATAATTTTGCATTTGCGTCGTTGTTTTACCGGAACAGCGATATATCAACAGATGACAAGTTTCAGTACCTGCTCCAGGCAACAGAGGAAGGCTCAAGCGTAAGAAATATGATTGAAAGTTTTCCACCTTCAGGAGCTAGTTATAATATAGCAATTGGTCAAACGAAAGTTAGGTTTGTGAGGGACGAGGTTTTAATTGAAGTGTATATAAGAGATTTGGTTTTAAATCAACAAACTTCAGTGGAAATGTCTGATATAGCATTATCCACCCTATATGATAAATTAGAAACGCAACTTAGGTCATTAGAGTCATTAGGGGTAACAAGGGATAAGTATGCAGCCATGCTTTTCCCTCTTGTAGAATCAGCACTACCTTTCGATTTATTAAAAATTTGGGAACGACACCGCATAGCTAATAATAAACAAAATGTAAATGATTTGCAGGGATTGTTAGATTTTTTAAAAGCAGAGGTTGAGGCTGAAGAACGTACAAAGATTGCCAAAACTAAATTTTTGCAAAATAAGGGGGAGGATGCTATAAATGAAAAAACTGAGCACAAGTATACAGTAGAGTCAATGTATTCTAAAAGTACAAAAACAAATTTTAAAGAAAAGTATAAAAGCACAAAATATGACTTTAGACCAGAAAAGGACCAATGTAATTAAAAAAAGAGGTTGCTTTTCTTATCTAAAATTGAATCATACTTTCAGAACTTGTAAATCTGTTGTGAAATGCATCATTTGTGCAAGAAAACACCATGCTATTATGTGTCCTGACTTGCAAAAGAAAGCAAATGAGAATAAAGAATTGTTGATAAAGCAGATGAAAATGTAAAAACACTTCAAAACACCTTAACAACTACTATATCCGAGACTCTTTTGCAAAGTTAAACTATATGCAGGTAATAAATTTAAATTGTTAGAATATTATTAGATTCAGGTTCTCAAAGGTCTTATGTAACAAAAAAATGTACAGAAGAAATCAATTTGTTAAAATTAGGAGATAAAAATATTATGCAAGGTGTATTTGGTGGAGCCCAAGGCGAATCCAAAATGTGTCAATTATTTAGTGCAGATATTCATAAGTTAGATAAATCTTTTAGCATAAGTGTTTCAGTATTAGAACAACAGAGAATATGTAACTACATCCCAAAGCTAAATGACATAAAAATAGAGATATAATTTTAAGTGACACAAGTAATAATGATTGTGAAATAAGTTTATTAATAGGTGCTGATAATTTTGGAAAACTGCTAACAGGTAATATCGAGTACATAGATGATAATCTTTTTGCGGTACAAACAAAATTGGATTAGACGGTAATGGGACAACAATATTGCATTAATCAAAATAAATGTATTGCTTCATACTTTACGGGTTGTTCTATTACTGATCTTTGGAACCTAGATGTATTAGGTATAAAAGAATCTGCCGAATCTATGAATAAAGAACTACTAGAGGTAGAAACATTAAATTATTTTAGGAATACTACTGTATTAAACAATGAAAATCAGTATGAAATTTATTTACCATGGATACAGGGTTGTCCGAATATATGTTTCAATTATAATTTAGCTGAAAAACGGTTATTTTCAAACACTAGAAGATTAATTACACTTGAAAAGTTTACAGATTACGGTAAAGTGTTTGAAGAATGGGAAAAATTAGGAATAATTGAAGAAGTATCAGAAGAAAATGTTAATGAAAATGTGCACTATTTGGCTCACCAAGCAGTGATTAAGTAATACAACCAAGATTCGACCGGTATTTTATGGTTCAGCAAAGGACAAAAATTGTAACTCATTAAATGATTTATTACAAAAAGGTAAAAATTTTATAGAAGTAATAATTCCGCTTATAATAAAATGTAGAATCCATAAAATTCGACTTACAGCGGATATTACAAAGGCATTTTTGGAAATAAGTATAGTAGATAAAGATAGAAATTATTTGCGATTTTTGTGGTGGCAAAATTACTCTGAAAGAATTATTAAAATATATAGGCACTGTAGAGTTGTTTTTGGTCTTAAACCTAGTCCTCTTATTTTAGCCGCAACCATAAATTTACATTTAGAAAAATTGATTGAGTGATAATGAATTTAAAGAAACGGCCAAAGTACTATTAAATGCTTTTTATGTAGATAATTGTATACATAGTGTTAGAAACAGTATAGAGTTAAAAATGTTTATTAAACAATCCAAAGATTTATTGGAAAAGGCACATTTTGAATTAAGAGGGTGGACATATAATAGTACAAATGAAAATAATTTTGAACCTGGTAATTCTAATCATAATGTTTCAGAGTTAGGTATTTTGTGGGATTTTAAATATGATAACTTTATATGCGATATCCAAAATTTAGGCAAATTGCAAGAAATACCAAGAACCGAACGAGGATTACTATCAGCAGCTCAAAAAATTTTAGATCCCATTGGCTTCACAGCACCTGTTACTTTATTACCAAAGCTTTTATTACAGGAAACTTTGCCATTCCAAGGCACATTGCAGAGCATAGAGACGAACAAGATATAAAGCATATTAGTCTTCATGTTTTTGTATAGATGCTAGTAAATCAGCATATGTTATTTTTGAAAGAGTAAAACCAAATTTGGTAGATTTTCACACTTTTATTTTAAAAATAAAAATTTTTAAACAAACACTAACATGACATATGTTTCGAAGTACAACTTCTTTTTCAAATGTGACTATTTACAATTCGGTATCCAATATATATACAAAATAATTTAACAAAACAAAGTACTTAAGAAAACATCAATAACATTACAAAATAAACTAACTATTTAAAGTAAATAAGGGTACTTAGGTAATTATAATATCCATCAAATAACAATAAGATAGCCCATTACCGGGATTATCTCACAGAAAACTGGGAAAGAGGTTTAATAAGGGTGAATTATTAATATCTAATTGATCATTTAGTAAGTTATCTGAATTTTTAAATCTATTTATTTCAAGTGTTTCTAAATGGTTTAATTTAAGGCTCTTATTTTCTACATGTAAAATTTCAAAGTTGTCTGTAAAAGAATGATTTTCAGCTAAAATATGATTTGAGTAAGTAGAATTATTTTTGTTTTTTGTATAGCTATTATAATGTTCGGAATAGCGTTTTTTGAAAGTACGGCCTGTTTGACCAATATACAATTTTGGACAACTACCACAATTTAATTTATATACCCCCGATTTATTATTAGGATTAATTTTACCCTTATTGTTTTTAATATACTTCCCAAGCGTATTATTGGTTTTAAAAGCTACGTTAATATTTTGGTTTTTTAAATATGATGATACCTTTTCACTAGGAGCTCCTATATATGTAAGACTCTTATATCTGCAATTTGGATCTTTAATTATGGGATAAACTTGTTGAATAGCCTGTTTAAAAAGTTTTTTCTCTAAAATGTTGTCTACTAACTTTGAATTAAAATTATTATTTACTGCGATTTGTTTAATGATATTTAATTCTTTTGTGAAGTTCTCTTTGGTAAGGGGAATATTAACTAATCTATGGATCATACTGTTGTATGCTGCCAGCTTTTGTTTGTATGGATGAGATGAACTATTATTTATACGGATATTACAATAAATAATAGTTCATCTCATCCATACAAACAAAAGCTGGCAGCATACAACAGTATGATCCATAGATTAGTTAATATTCCCCTTACCAAAGAGAACTTCACAAAAGAATTAAATATCATTAAACAAATCGCAGTAAATAATAATTTTAATTCAAAGTTAGTAGACAACATTTTAGAGAAAAAACTTTTTAAACAGGCTATTCAACAAGTTTATCCCATAATTAAAGATCCAAATTGCAGATATAAGAGTCTTACATATATAGGAGCTCCTAGTGAAAAGGTATCATCATATTTAAAAAACCAAAATATTAACGTAGCTTTTAAAACCAATAATACGCTTGGGAAGTATATTAAAAACAATAAGGGTAAAATTAATCCTAATAATAAATCGGGGGTATATAAATTAAATTGTGGTAGTTGTCCAAAATTGTATATTGGTCAAACAGGCCGTACTTTCAAAAAACGCTATTCCGAACATTATAATAGCTATACAAAAAACAAAAATAATTCTACTTACTCAAATCATATTTTAGCTGAAAATCATTCTTTTACAGACAACTTTGAAATTTTACATGTAGAAAATAAGAGCCTTAAATTAAACCATTTAGAAACACTTGAAATAAATAGATTTAAAAATTCAGATAACTTACTAAATGATCAATTAGATATTAATAATTCACCCTTATTAAACCTCTTTCCCAGTTTTCTGTGAGATAATCCCGGTAATGGGCTATCTTATTGTTATTTGATGGATATTATAATTACCTAAGTACCCTTATTTACTTTAAATAGTTAGTTTATTTTGTAATGTTATTGATGTTTTCTTAAGTACTTTGTTTTGTTAAATTATTTTGTATATATATTGGATACCGAATTGTAAATAGTCAATATTATTAGTGATCGACCGTCGTTACGAGCAGTTGGATAAGGGAGTAGGCAGATTGAGACCTTTAACCCAACCGTTCAAGACAATCGTTTTT